AAACATATATATATCAGCCTGTGCGTGTGTAATGTACTATGTGCCCCTGGGAGATGATAAGCTGCTTCATGGCGGGCACGCCGCCCTTTTTTTTTTATCATTCATCCCCCATGCGTGTGGTGGGTGTGTTTGTCTTGCTCCTGCTGTTTTCTCCTTGGGATGGTTTTTCTTTTTTTTCTTTTCTTTTCCTTTTATATTTTATTTTGTTCTTTGATGTTGTGCGCTTTCATTTGTACTCGTCGTGTGCTGCATTGAAGAGAAGTTAAAGCTAGTGCGAAAGAAATAAAAAAACAACATCAACAACAAGAGATAAATGCGACCATACAATTGTGGTCCGATGCCACTGGGGGAACGCGGGGTTCTCATGACGTACCAAGCTCAGCAGCCGCAGCAGCAGCAGCAGCAGCAGGGCCTACGTCCAGCATCATCTTCAGCAGCAGCAGCAGCAGCAGCAGCAGCAGCACCATCAACATCATTATTACTACAACTACCATGCACACTACCAGAGCATGTTGCCTCCCAGCGCTGCCGCTGTCCCTCCGCTCACACAAGCTCCTTTTTATTCCATTCCGGGGGTTGTTCCCACGTCCCCGTATTACAATCAGTCTCATCCTTATTTGCAACAGCAACAGCAGCAGCAGCAACAACAACAACAACAACAACATCACAGCAAGCAACAACAGTACTCGCGGCAGGGCCCAGGCGTGGGGTATGCTAACGCCGGGCGTTCAGGATTTTCCACGTACACCCCTAATGCCTTTAATGTGGGCTATTCTGTGCCTCAGCAACCGCACTCCCGAGAGAGCCATCGTGGAGGCCGTGGTCGCATGGGAACGAGGGGAGGATACAACGTCGAGAATGATGCCCGCGAGTCCTACTTTGAGGTACATTTAAAGAGCTTCGCCGAGATGGAAGAGGCAAGCCGCAAGGGCTGCCTACGTGAATCTCTGCATCCAACGGTGATTGGAAGAATGAAGCGTCGTGCCTCACCTGGAGTGCTAAAGATTCTTGTGATTGTGGACCACCAGTATCTTGCGGCATGCATGTCGGTGCCGCCATCTGACGATGATGTTGTCTTGTCGAAGGAAGTCGCGATGCAGTTCCTAGACTTACAACACGTGTACTGTGACGATGGAATTAGATTAGTGGACATGGAGGATGGCACTCACGTTGCCAAACACGTGTACTCGACTCTTCGAATTGCCCTGCAACAACTGGCCTCATACAACAAGACCGACTTTAGGACTGACGTTGCTGCAGATTTTTCATCTCCTACTGGAACACTTTTGTTGAAGGACATTCTTGTCCATCGTGACGTATCTACACTGCTTTCTGAGGTCCTGGAAGGAGACGATGAGGCTGCAGATAATTTGTGGATGCGGCTTCTTTTTGAGCCCTCCTCCCCTACAGCTAACGATGGCGCGGATGGCACATTGCATAAACCGTCGCCCACTGGAAAGACGAACGCTCCCCCGTTTCTTCCTTCGTGCGGGGTGGGAATTCTTGCCACAGTGCAAGGGACGTGGTTGTTTAGAAAGGCAATGATGCACCCTAAACGGCGAGAGGCTTTGTTCCGTGTGTTGCAGGACGCTGCTATACCACCGCCTCAGGAGGAATCTGAGGCGTCGCCGTCAACGCTTATGCCTGAGCATCTCTTTTTGGCACTCTTCTCATGCCCTCTGGCATCACGATTTGTTTTTGAGTCCTTTGGCTTGGTGGAAGGGGTAAATCGCTGCGAGGCGGAGGTAACTGTTTTGTGTGCCGCCCTAGAGCGACTTGCGCTGAAGGTTGTGTGCAGCAACGGCGGGAGTTTTTTAATGACGGCGTTGGTGAAGGCACTCTGCCCAAGTCGCTTCAGTGGCGGGCAGAAGACGGGTGGAAAACGGGGGCGCGATAACGATGTTCATTCCAAACAGCAACGCGACGCCAGTGGCGGCCGCTACGATGAGGATAGTTGTGAAAATAGCAACATTGGCGGCGGGAAGGCTGCCAGGACGAATGGGATTGATGGGCAAACTCAGCCCACCCAAGTGGAAGTAAGCGAGCTTCATGTGTCGGAAATGTGGTCTGCGTGGCGGCTGTTTTGCGCGGTAGCTCGAGCCTTCGTTTCGGGCTCCATCCCGGGCGACACGAAGGAAACGGAGGCAACGTTGAGCCGTCGTGTCAAGTTGCTTACGCAGCACGTCGTTGCTTGCCGGGCTATACAGAGTTTTATTCCTTTCTTTGCTGATGCCGTTGTTCAGGGGGAAATTGACCCCCAACAGCGGCAGGAAAATGCCCTCAACGCGGACCCTGAGTCGACACAGTTCTACGATGACTGTGCGAAAATTCTTTCTGAAATTGCAAATCAAAGTGGGCTTTTGGCGAATCATAGTTACGGTAATTACGTGTTACAGACCGTTGTGTCAGAGCTGGCGCAGCGCACTGTTGCCGGGTCCCCAGTTCAGTCGATGCTACACAAGGTTTTCGATGCGTTAATTGGTAGTATCTTTGAGGTCAGTATGCAGAAGTTTGCATCTAACTGCGTTGAGACTGCCATCGCGGCGTGTCACAAGCTCCCGGACGGCAGCACCCTCATACTGCGCTTCGCCACTGCACTGCTCTCGGGAGGGCCAAACCGCATGGAACAGGTGGCGATGCACCAATACGGTAACTACGTTGTGCGCCGCATACTGGACTCTCTCACCGCTATCGCCACCGGTGCTTCTGATACCGCCACCCCGGCGGAAGTGGTGGAGGCGTGTGGGGTAGAGCAACAGTACTTTAACAACCTTAACGCCCAGTCTCATCGACTCCGTCAGACGTCGTACGGCTCTGGCCTGCAGGCGTGGGTGGAGAATCAGCGCGAGAGGCTGCAGGGCGTGGCAGCGGTAAGAGGGGGATCCAACGCGCAGGTGACTGAGTGAGACGGTGCTGTGCCTACGCGCGAGGAGGTAAAGGGGCAATGGTAAAATGAGGGTGGACGTGGCAGAACATCTGCGTCCCGTTGTTGCACCCCTGCCAATTACACACGGAGTAGCTTCGGTGAGAATGAAATAAGGAAAGGAGGAGGAAAGCAAAACGTTGACTAAAAGGATAAAAAAAGGTGCGATTGAGTGTAAAAGCGATGGAGAGGAGGAGTGGGATGAGCACTGCTGAGGGGCGGGGGATAGTCAGAAAGACACAAAGAGTGAAACAGCAGGAGAACGGGGCGGTGATGAGCGGAGGAACACACGCAAAGAGACCCCCCACAATGCAAACGCGCGGCAACGATGGGTGCCTTCCAGGAAGGTAGTTAAAAAAAAAAACGCAACAAACAAACAAAACAAGGAAGAAATAGGAAAAAAAAAACAATGACCAGACGAAGAATGCCACACAGAAATAGTCTACATGGCTGCCTTAGTCTCTTCCGTTGCTTTTGTTGTTACTGTTTCTGTATATGTTTTGTTTTGTTTTTAAAGGTGGACTCAGAGGCGACACGTGGTTTAATAATAATCAATGCATACCCAAGTGTGCGCACTCACACGCACTCATACTCATTTTGCATATAATTACGCACATAGACGCCTGGTAATAGGAGAGGTGGTAAACAGGCGAGGAGCAGCGTCAAGCTTCTATGTGATAATAAAGTGTGTTTTTTTTGTTTAAGGCATTGATGGCTATGTAGAGCAGTGAGATCCTAAATAAGACGTGTTAGAGAAGGGGTAAAGTGGAAATGTGGTTTGTAGTTTGTCAGTAGTGGAAGCCAAAAGGAGGAAATCAGAAAAAGAGGGCGTGTTGTGGTATGGATGGGTCGGGGAGATTGGTGAATATTAAGAATGAAAGGGGGATTTGGGCGTAACCACCGCAAACGTGCAGGAAGTAGACATATATATATATATGCAGACAGACGGACTGACAGAGAGACAGAGAGAGAGAAGTCCAGATCTACTTGCAGCGAGGAGGGTCGTAAAGAGAATCACTTACGCTTCACGTTGTTTAAATTAAAAAAAAAAATAGACATTTTATATGTGTGCCTGTCTTTGCCATTTGTTTTTTTAAAATTTGCGCATGTACAAAAGTGCGCCATGGCCTCATTGTCATCAACGTCACGCTCGTTATTTTCTTCGTTTTGCTTAGTTTCATTTCCCCCCACCCCACACACACACGTTGCGCCAACCTTTTTCCCCGCTTCCAGGTGCTTGCCCTGAACTCATGACTGTGTGTGGCTCTCACTGGGGTGACGGCTGTACGACCGCGCGGAACAGTTGCTTCCGCTCTCTCCCTTGCCTTTCTGCCCTGCGTTTTGCTTGCCCGCTCTCTTCACTTCTTCCTGTATGCCTTCTCTCTCTCTCTCTCTCTTTTTTTTTTATCCCTCTCCCTTCGTTTTGTACTGTGTCTCTGCGTTGCTCTCAGTTTGAGGGTGGGACCACTGGTATAGCACGTGTGCGTCTGCGTGCAGTGGGAGGAATAAAGAAAAGGCAGCAGGGAAGGGGAATTAGAAGGGAATAACTACAAATTAGCAACAACGTCAACAAGAGAGGACGCAAAGAAACAAACGCAAAGGGCAAGGAAGGAAAAGAGAGCAGTAAAAAAAGGTGGGAGGTGAAGGAAATTTGTGCCGATTGGTGAAATGAGTTACCCTCCATACACGGGCGTTTTTTCGGATGACCTGGCGACCTACGGGGAGGAGGCGGACGAGGAAGGTCTTCCGTGGATTATGTGGTTTTGTGAGCTGAAGAGTCATGAGTTCTTCTGCGTTGTAGACCGCGACTTTATTGACGATGAATTTAACCTTACAGGTCTCTCCACGATGGTATCCTTCTACCACTACGCACTGGATCTCATTTTAGATCTGGAGACGCAGAACAGTGCGCGCCTAACGGCGGAGCAGCAGCGCCTGGTGGAGTCGTCAGCGGAAACTCTTTATGGTCTCATTCACGCCCGCTTCATCACAACGCAGCGCGGACTTAAACTAATGGAAGAGAAATTTGCTGAGGGAGAATTTGGTCGCTGCCCGCGCGTGTTCTGCGGTGGGCAGGCGGTGCTACCGGTAGGACAAAGCGACGTTGTGCGTGAGAGTTCCGTGAAGTTGTACTGCCCGAAGTGCCAAGACATTTATTACCCGCGCTCCTCCCGTCACCGAACACTCGACGGGGCCTTCTGGGGGACGACGTTCCCGCATCTTTTCCTAATGCACCTGCGCGACAGTGGCAAGGTGATCGCAAAGCCAAAGCAGCACTACGTTCCACGTATCTACGGCTTTCGCCTGCGTGAAAAGAGGGACGCCAGTGAGGTATGTGAGTACGAGCAGGCGCCGGCAACGGAGGAGGCGGAGGCCGGGACGGGGGCGAGAGCCGTGGATGCCTCTGTTGGTGAAATCACACCGGTAAACGCATCCGATAATTTGGGAATAGTGCAAAACTGTTATAGAGACCCCAATGGAGAACACGTCGAGGCACCACAACAGTGAGGCGGAGTGTCACGACCACACCAGCAACTCCCGCCCTCTCCAAGAGCAGAAAAAAGAGGAATGAATGAGAGAGGGGAGGGGAAAAAGTAAGGAGGGAAGGAAGTAAGGGGAAGAAATGGAAGAGGCAGAGGAGGGAGTGGAAGCGTCGAATGAATGGATTGGAGTTGAACTGGATGTGTTTGGCGTCTACTACGTCTCTTCGTATTTATCATGAACATTTGGTACGCGTCTTGGAGGAATGTGCATTGCTTTTGGAGTAACGGAGAGAGCGGTGTGCTGAGGCGTAAGGGACAAAAGTAAAGTGGGGGAGGGGATTGTAGAGGGAGGAAGAAAAACTTTGGAAGAGGACGAAGTGTTCGTTTAATTTCGTTTCTTTGGTGCAGAGGGGGGTGGGGGTGGAGAACCTTGCGGGGTGGGGTGGGGGGGTCTCTGTTCCTGCTGTGTGGGTTTTTCTCGAGCGTTGGTAAGCACTAAACGTCGACGACATGTAATTTTTTGTTCTCCAAGTGAAGGCAGCTTTTTTTTTCTTTTTCTTTCGCCTTTTCTCCACTTTTTTTTATTTGCGCTGTGTAATATGGTGTGATGCACACGCACGCTCTCTCTTCCTCCCTATCTATCTATCCGTCTGTATCTCTCTCTCTGTGCGTGTGTGGGTGTGGGATAGATGGATGAATGGTGTCACCACCGTTTTCACTTTTCCTCATCCTGCTTCTTCACCTCCTTCGTCATCTATGATTGCCATCATGCATACATACACACACACATACGTATATATATATATATATATATATATATATATATACTGTATTATATTATCTGTATGTGTGCACAGTTGCGCTGTTGCCAGTGTTCCTGAGGTTGCTAGTTGTGCGTTCAAAGCAAAGAAAAAATTATTTTAAAACGAATTAAAACTTCCGCCGTTGGAACTATGGCCCAACTCAGCACTCGGCACATGCAATCATTACTTCATTTCTTCCTTTGCGCCGAGCACTGCAAAAACTTTTGGTGGTGGTCTTGCTGCTGTCATTTTCCTTTTGCTACGTTTGACCTCTTGTTTTTTTTATTATTTATTTTAAAATTATTTGTGTATATATATATAGGGGGGTTGTTTGCCCGGGAGGGAGTCACTAAAGATGGAGTCTTCGTTGGCGGGGACCGGCGAAAGTAAATTTGGGGTGAAGCCATCTACCACAAGAAGGCGGCGCCGCAGCCCCGTGAGGCGTGAGGAGGACCCTCACACGCATGGAGTCGATGAGCCCAAGGGTCAAAAGGGGGCAGTGCAGGCAGATAATTCACCCGAGCAGCCAGCAGCCAAACGACCACGGACGGAATCCAAGACGCATTCCACCTTTGTGGAGCTTCGCCGTACTCTGGTTGATGCGGCAGCGGTGGCCAACTTCATTGAGCAACACCACGATACGAAGCTGCGTGATGTGAAGCAGGTCAACAATTTCTATCAGGCCATTAGCAACTGCACGGAGGACTTCTTTGCCTCACTCTGTCAAGAACACAGGCGTCATGTACACCTCGCACTGGAGCGAATGTTTGAACTGTATGCGACAGGGAAGGCCACAATATCTCCCGCGGCACATGAGTTTCTCATTCGCTGTGAACAGAATGGTGTGAAGACGGTGAAATGGGCCACCGAACTCGAGTCCGAAGCACCAACCACTATTGATAATAGTACTTCCACAGAGGGCACAGCAATAAAGAGGCAGCAACAACAACAGCTGCTGCCAGTCTTGTTGTCCCCCCGAGAACTTCTCAAGAGACTTGCGGGTATTGATCCGCGCGGGAGGCTGGAACGTATGATAGAAATGTGTTTCACTCTAGGCGACCTCTACACATGCGCGCGTAAACTGTGTAAGGTGACAGGGGGTGAAAAGGGTTTGGAATACGCAGCAACGTGTCAATTGATCAGCAAAACCGCCTCAAAGGCCCGCCGGATTTGTGGGGCAGCGTTGCTTGCCGATGAGCCACATCTCTCTAGCGAGGAAGCGGCGACACTGAGTAACGTGATCACCACCCTTATTTCTGTAACGGAGCGTGCTTTGGCTGCACGACCCCCTTCCACGTCTCAACAGCCCATCTCAAAATTGGCTCACTTTGCCAAGTGGTGCGAGGGCTACGGACTCCTTGAAAGAAGCCACATGGAAGCTGTTGCCGCTCTTGAGGCACAGGCGACGCGTGATTTGGGATTGCAGGCAACTCAACTGGAGACGGTGATGATGCTTAAGGCGCTTCCCACTGGTGATGAGGCGGCGGTGCGCGCGGCCCTTGAAGGCATATGGAATGAGCGGGATTGTCATTTTGATCCTTACAGCGCAGACGTGCTGTCGTCCATTGCGGTTGTGTCAGCTGCCGAAGGCATGTCAGATGCGTTTAGGGCTCTCGTCGCCGCGAGGCTCGTAAAGACGCAGCAACGACAACTACATGGAAGCGGTCTGCAGCTTCCACGACGGGCGCTGAAGTTTGTGAATGACGAATACTCGAGAGAGAAGAAGGAGTCAATCAAACGTATGCTTGCCGCCGAGCAGGAGAAGAGGGAGAAAACACAGGCGACATAACTTTTCTGTTGTGCCTGTGCTAGTGAAGGCGTGACGACGATGGTGCTGCTCATCATTGTGCAATGGAGGCGCGGTTAAACGGTGATGATTAATGAAACAGGGCAAAATATCAAAAACCAAACAAAGAAGACAAAGAGGACGGGAATCAGGGTTAGATGTCCCCTACCGCCGCGTTTGGTTTGTTGCCTTTGCCTACCTGAACTGAAGAGAGTGGTGACATGCACTTCTGTTTGCCTTTGGATGTTTGTTTATTTGCTTGCTTCTTCCTCTACATCGCCACCTCTCGCTTGTAGGAAAGCGTTGAGTGGTAATATATTTTTATAGCTGGGGGCTGTCAGGTTATCAATGATCAACCTAGAGAAGCTGAACACCGGCCTCACGCGAGTGGCAAGTGTCAAAAAGTACCCCGTCACACGGCCGCAGCAGTTGCCGCGGAAGACGAAAGGTCGCGTCTTTCGTCTGGGTGTGCTGCACAGCAAAGAAATGACAGAGGCGATGCTGCTGCGAAATCGACGTGGTTTTGTGAACAGCCAGGTGAATACTGTTGCCCATGCCCCCTCCATGTACCACTGGCTATTTCACCGCTGCGGTATACCCTTTGAAGAGACACAGGAGTTAGTGATGTCCGGCGGATTAACCGTCGATGGCGTGGCCATTGACCGTTCCAGATTAGAATCACAGATGGAGTGGGCGGCGCTGCGGAAATTAGACATTCGCATACGGGTAGAGGCATCTACGGCAGACCGGACATCTGGCCCCACGCTAGACAACTGGACGAATACTGAGGATAGCCGTAAGGGTGGCAGTAGTGGTTGTGCGACGGTCATGTGGGTGCCTGCAATGAAGCGAGCGTTGCACCGGCAGTACTTCTTCGTTTACCTGCACCCAGGCGTATCTATCACATCAGATCAAACAGACCCACGTTCTTTTGTGCACCGCCTCACTCCGCTTGTGGGCAAAGTTGCCGGAATCGGCATGAACATCCTTCGGCCGATTGGTTTCATGAATGGAATGAAGGGTCTCGGCTTGGCAACAAACGATGTGTCTATGGTGCGGTATTGGAACAATGAATTTCTTGGGAATTTTGGCGTCTACGATATCCGCTTTGCTCGCGGCGTGCCCTCTGAGGTCGTCCAGAGACTCGCCGACGAGGTCAACGAGGTGTTGGACGAGGGTATTCGGAAGCAGTTGTCGAAGGATGTCAAAGTGCCCTGCACGTGTACGCTGGAGCCCGTACTGACCTCAGCCAAACACCAGCACAACCACAAAGGTGACTTTGTGGCTGGACTCTACTCCAAGCCACTGCACAACGAACGGTTAATCGTACGTAGCCCGCTCCTTCCGTACCGCGTGGCACGCAAGGTGCGCCGTGTTGGGGGCTTCGTCACAATGGTGCGCTCTGGCCCCTTTGCACTTCCCCCCCTTCTGCCTCAGACGAAGCAACGGCCCTTGTCGCCGCAGGAGCTAGCGCTCATGTTCACATTCGAGCGCAGACTCAAGACAAACCGCGTGGTGCTTAGTCTCCGTGAATTTGATGCGGATAGTGATCTTGACGGTGTCGATCCTGGCGTCATTTTACCTTTTGCATGAGTGAGCGTCTCAGCCCATTTTTGTTTTAGTTGTATTCAATCAAAATTCACAGATTGCATTCCCTGTTAAATGAGTGGGATAAAATGAACGAGACGAAGAAACAGGGGACGCACTGAGTATGCTGAGTGTGAAAAAGAAAAATGATGAATTCTCTTATTTTAGTTGTTATTGTGGCCGTTGTTTCCTGCACTTTTCTTTTTGCTTTTGCTTTTTATCTGCTTCCTCCGTTTTTTGATTTGCCTTTTCTCTTTCTGCCGGATTGAGGGTAACGGTTTTAGTGGAATAGCGGCCAGCAGCCATGTCATGGGTAGCCGCTGCACAGAAGGGAAAGTGTGTGGCACCGGCATCCACCGAACCAAAGCGGGTTGTCTTCGCTCCTGCAGTGGACGTTGTCGCTGGTGACAATGATGAAGCTGGGCATTTTGGTGCTTGCAGGACAATTTGTTACGGTGTGGGGGCAACGGTCCCTACGTACCGAAAGGGTCTCCTTGTTCTTGATGCTAATGCATTTATCAAAGGGATGGACAACTTCAACGACGTGGCGGATGCATTGGTGACGACCTCGCAGGTTGTCGCGGAGGTGCGGGACCGGGCCGCCCGTGACTTGCTGGGTCGCCTTCCACAGGCCCTACACGTCTTGGAGCCCTCAAAGGAGGCATTAGAAGCTGTTGTGAACGTCGCAGAGAGGACGGGTGATTTGGGAGCCATGAGTAGAACCGACATCCGTCTTTGTGCATTGGCATTGGACTGCTGCAGGGCCACCGAATCTTTGATGGCACCTATTGAACCACGGCAGGCAATTATTAATCCTGGTGGCGATCACGGAACGGAAATAGTGACTGAGGCAGTCACAGGTGACGCCGAGGAGGAGGGGGAGGAGACTGAGGTGGAAGAGGAAGAGGAAGAGGAGGTGGAGGAGAAAAAAGAAGGCGACGACGACGACCAGGGGTGGATCACCCCGGAGAACATCCACAAGCACCTCCAAGGATGCGAGGGGGCGGTTGGGGAGCGTTTTGACGGCGGTGTTGCATGCGTCACCTCCGACTACGCGATGCAAAACACCCTGAAACACCTAGGGGTCCCCATTGTTGGGCCACACGGCATGCGCATTCACGAGCTCCGTCAGTGGCTGCTGCGCTGCACCTCCTGCTTCGCCCTCACAACGGACACAACGCGACAGTTTTGTGGCATGTGTGGCAGTGGGAACACGCTGAGACGCGTGCAGTACGTGGTGACGCGCGACGGCAAAAAGCAGCTATTTATCAACTTTTGCAAGCCCATCAGCACGCGCGGCACGATCTACAACCTCCCAAAACCGCGTGGAGGAAAACGTGGGACAAACCGCTGCCTCGTACTGCGAGAGGATCAGCTGGCACACGTCATCCGCGGCACAACATCCGCCAAGCTGAAGGAGAAACATGTGGCACGTGGCGGCGACGGCAGCAACGACGATGATCTGGCGGCGTTTGGGCAGGCCCCAAAGCCGCATAGGCGAGACGTGAATCAGCCGCGTATGTTTTCCTCCTATCACAAGTACAACGTGAATGAGAAGAAGAAGGTCCGTGCTTCCAGACGGAAGTAGGCCTCAGGCGTTTAAAGAAAAGAGAGAAGCAGCAGTGGTGAAAAAATAAAAAATAAACTGGAGGGGGGGGGGCATTCGAAGAAGAACGAAACAAGGAAAAAGTTTCATTTCGGATAACGAGCCGTGAGGGTTATTTTAAAAAAACACCACGGAGGAAAAAGAAAAAGTTGAAGATAATGAAAAAAAAAAACATCAGCTATTCCCCGCGACAACCATCATCCCCGCTACGAACTCCCCTTCGCCGTTGCTCCTTTAAGGAAGAAATGTGAATATAACATGGCAAGGCTCTGGAACTGCGTCTCTGGTGTCAGACGTGGGTGTGATTTCTGAGTGTTTTTACTTGTCTGGCCCATTCTTTTGGGTCGACCCCCAGCCACTCCACTTCGTCGGCGTATGTGTGGGGTGTGTGGAAAGCGGCACAAAAAGTGACGGTACTGCTGTCCTTGTGGGAGAGAGGATGATACGTCTTGCAGTGACTGGCGGTCCGTTTTTATTGACTGCCGTACGTTTGGCCTACGGTGGCCTTGGCATTGAGACTCTTTTGTGTCACACCGATTTTATACGGACCTTTTCTTGACATCTCAGACACACCGATAGGCCTTCCGGAAACAACGCCTTGCGGGTGGTGGACAGGGCTACCTGCGGGTATGGCTTGATGCGGTGCGCCGCATGACTCTATCTGACACGATGTTGCATCCGGATGAGTGAGTCCTCTTTTTGAGATGACTGGTTGAATGGAATTAATGCAGTGTACTGGGGAACCATTTGGTATCCTGCTTACATTTATCTTTTGTTTTGTTTTTTTTTGTTTTTTTGGCTTCGATTCGTTAGGAATTGAGTTAGGTCTTTTGCGCTAAGGCTGCATGCTCCGTCGCACGATTGCTTGATTCATGGCGTTAGACGCCATTGGGGCGGCGCATCCTGACATTCTTTGGGGTTACATGGACGGACGCTACGCCGGGCCTGGCTGGGTCAGCTGGATCAAACAACTTTCGGTGGAAACGCTCACCATGCAATGCGGTACCTCCATGATAAACATGAACAGCCGTGCGGGAGTCATTTTAGATCCAGAGGAACCACGACACCCTATGGCGTTCATTCAATGGGGTCCGATGAATCATTACGATAGTGCCTTTATGCAACTCTCCTATGGGGACTACGGGCCTATTAAAAATTGGTCTCGTCTCATGCAATTTTTGTATGATAATTATTTGGAACCCTTTTCCATGAATCGCGTGTGCGTTCAGCTGGACTTTTATCAAAAACTACCAAACAACTACCACGCCTCTGTTGAGGCCTCCGCAGAGTACATAGGGCAAACCGCCTTGTTGGTTGGACAGGTGATAGTAGGCATTGGTTCTGTTATAATGGAAGGCGTTACCGTGAAGGGAGACATGAATTGTGTCTACATAGCAGAGGGTGTGCAGGTAATAGAAAATACATCTATTGTGAGTGATGCTCCGACAGACTTGTTAGCCTACCAACGTCATGAGGCCATTAACCCATATCAGCAGTGGGACGGGATGAGTGGGGTGTGCCGAATAATGCCGAACAGAATCATTGAACCTAATTGCTTCCTCGATAGCTGCTCCATCGGTCCCTTAAACCGCATTAGCCACAACACCAAAATTTTGAAGGGAGTGACGACAGCAACGATGGTGCACATTCTTCCAGGCAGTGTAATTACGGCAGATAGAAATGTTGGCGATGGTGAACTTTGAGGTGGGGTTCCTGCTGTGAAGCTCGGCGAGGTAAGTAAGTTTGAGTGGAAGCGCCCCTATTTTGCTTTACCGTTGCACAAGGAGAGTGTTGTGGAGTCTTACCGCAGCATGTCTCGCTATGGAGACCGAGTAGTTCACTTCCAGGATCAAATGGGGCAGCTGAACTCGCTGATGCTAGAGTATGAGTCGGATATCACGCTAGCCGTGAAGACGAAAATTAAGAAGTTTGTGCAGGGGCGCGAGCCCTTCCATCACATGCTTACCCGCATCACGCAGGGCTGGTCCCCCCGCTAATCTCCCGGATGACAAGAATTACAACCTGTGCCCTCCCCTACAGGGTGTGAAACTCTTCGCGGAGCACAACAATGGCTCCTCCGATAGTCTGCTGCACGGAACATATATGAATATCGAAAACATATTTAACGATTTCCGTTGGTAGAAGAAAGAAAAAGTAATGGTGAGATTAATTTTAGTTACTTCTTGTTGGTTGTGTGAAGGAAGTGAACGAAAAAGAAGAAAAGTGGAAGTGTCTGTCATGTGGTCCTTTTTTTATGAGTGTGTCAGTCTATAAGGAGCAAAAAAAAAAAAAAAAACAATAGTTCTGGGGGCGACAATTAGTGAGATGCCGGGGGAAGCTCGTCCAGTTTAGTGTGTTATCATTATTATTAGTATTAATAGCTGGGATGCTGGGGGGGGTTGAATAGCGTTCAAGGGGATAGAGGGAAAGAGGAGGGTTCAGTTCAAGTGATGTAGAATTGTCTGCAGCAAAAAAGGTGTGCATCTGTGGACTCACGTCCGTGACTCGCATGCAGTCGGGGGTGAGGGGTGAGAAGCGAAGAGGAGTGTGGGGTTCGGGTCTAATAAATTGCATTGGCCTACGTGTTTGTGTGTAGGGCCGCATGTTAGTGATGCGATTGACAGGATATGAATTGGTGGTGGTGGTTGTGGGAGGAGGCTAGCCTGATGCGGGTGGGGCCATTAGTTGTGTGGCTAAAAGGACTTGCAATGCATCGCTCACTTCTCTCTTTGCCTGGTCTTCTTGTCATTGCCAAGGCTGGAGAATGGTTCTTTCCTATCTTCTTTCTTTATCCCTCCCTCTCTGTGTATTTCTGCTGACCTCTCTCATGTACACTTATTTAGGCGACGTGCACCCCACGAGGCAATAGTGTGGTGCAGGAATACTGTTTTGGGGTTGCTGTGGCAGATGGAGTTCCGCACACTCGATCCCCGCTGGAAGAGCCTGCACGAGCAGCACGAGTTGTGGGAGCAGGTGGATGCGCTGCAGGGCACGGTTGCGTTTTTGAGCCAAAGGCAGGAACACCAGGCAACGCAGTGGCGTGTTGTATGTGAGGAGCAGCGACAGCACTGCGCCGACCTGGCGTCCATATACCAACAGCTGCAGGGGTTGCTGCTCACAGGCGTGCACGGGGAGGCGAGGCAGCGGAGCGGCAGTGTGGGGGTGGCACCGCAGGAACCGCTACGACGTGAAGTCTCCGATTTGCTGCAGAACTTCAAACAACGCATTGAACGGCATGTGACGGAGACAAATCAGCGTCTAGACAACATGCAACGCTCTCTAGAGGACATTCAACAGAAAATGAAAAACGACAATTGCGGTGTTGCGCGTCAAGAGGAGCGTCTGACACAGCTCGAGGAGCAGCAAAAGGAAATGCTGCAGCGGATGTCCTTCACTACAACGCAGGATGATCTTGAGCGGCTCCGCACCACGGTGACACAACAGCTGCACTCCCAGCAAGCGGATGTCACGGCTGTCACACAACGTTGCACCAGGAGCGTTGATGAGAGGTTCACAACGCAGGAAACGCACTATCGTGAGGAGCATGGGCGTATTCAACGAGAGATGCGGCAATCCATAGAAGAGGTCGTGCATCGACTGCAAGGCCAACTAGATAACCTTTGCGGTGAACTTAAGACACATGCGTCAGCCGTCGACGTCATAACCTCCAACTTGGAAGAACAGACGAGAGGCGAGGTGCACGAGATTCTAACGGCACATGCGGCAAAGACATGCGAGCAGGTTCAGGATGTACACCGTGAATTGACTGGTAAACATCTGCAGCTTGTCGCCGACACAATGAACGCGTTGGGGAAGATGGCCAATTTGGCTGACGAATTACCGCTAAAAGTGTTTTTACTGCAGGAAGATGTCGTCAAGATTCGCGACACTTTGCATAGTCAGGGAGAACTATTGAATGAGCAGTGTCTGCAGGGTTCGCTTCAGGGTGCATTCGACGAGGTGAAGGACTGGCTGCAGGATCTTGAGCGGCGTTTGTTGGGTCGTGGGGAATTTGACGAAACGATGGCAGGGATTGACAAGAAGCTTGCCGCACTAAAACGAGAGTTTATCTCCCGCGGTCTGGCCGGACACACTACGGATCAAGGCATAGATGATAAGGGTATCAGCCCTGTGGCTGCCGCCGCCACTACCACCCGCAGTGGCGGTGCTGATTAACAGCGGAGAGAAGAAGGAGAGGGGGGGAAGGAGAGGAAACGGGGCCAAGTGTGGTTTCTCAAGACACATCTGTGCATAAGTACATGCAGACAAACAGAGAGAGAGGTACTCCTTTCCTTTTTATTTTCCTTTTCTCTCTCTCTCCCTTTGGTCTCCTTTTTTTTTTTGCCCGCTGTCGTTGGTTTCGACAACTGTGGAGTAAAGCAATTTCCTGCTGTGAAGGCAATTGTCTTGGGGGTCCCGTCACCACCCCTACTATGAATGTCCGTGTGGATTGTTTCATGTTTTTCCTCTTTATTACTGTATTGTATTTACTTGTCTATTTTGTTTTGTTTTTGGTTTTGGTTTTGTTTGGTGTTTTATCTGCTCTTTTTTTATCCTTTGTTTTTTTTTCTTGCGGGATTTTCTGTTCTACGCGCTGCTGCTGCTTGCGGTGTCGCCTCGTACGTTAACACCGGTTCATGTACCCCAAGCAGTAGGAGTGGGAATTTTATTGTGGTGTTGGCAACTCACCCCCGCAATGACGTCGGCGAAGCCGGAGGAGGTCACCGTCTCCGATGGCGTGCTGGCCAAGCTGGAGCGGGAATTCAATGAGGCGATGGAGGCGTTGGAGGGTCATGAAAAGTTTGGTATTTTTCGTGACGAGTACGAAAATCTGTACCGGGCATTGGTCAACAGCCATGAGTCGGAGAAGCGGCTGGTGCGACGGTGCCAGCAGATGACGCAGGAGCTTATGAGTAACGCGGCCAAGATGCAGGCCGCCGTGAAGCTCTCGCAGGGCGACCACAGCACCATTGAGGCGCTCAAGAAGGAGATCGAGAAGGCCTGGCGCATGGTGGACACCGCCAACGAGAAGGACGCTCGCGCGAAGGAGACTATTAAGACGCTCAAAGAGGAGGTCTTCTCGCTGCAAGAGATTGTGGAGAATGGCACCGAGCTCACCTCCACCCAGACCGCCACGCTAGAGGAGCTGAAGCTGGAAAAGAAGCGCATGCAATCGGAGTACGACGATCTCGTCAAGCAGATGGAGACACTGACGCGGGAGACACTTGAAACAGGCCAGAAGATAAAGGAGCTCGAGGCGGAGATAATGAACAACCACGAGGAACTGCGCCATGTCTCTGACCGGGAGAAGATGGTGCGGCAGGAATATGAAAAGGAGGTGAAGGCGCAGGAACGGTCTGAGGTGCAGGTGCGTGAGCAGATCCTCCTTGTACAGCAGCATGAAAAGGAACTGAAGATGCATGAGCAGTTATGCAACAAACTCACCGCCGCCGTCAATCTCCTGCGGCTGCAGCACCAGGACGATCAGAATAAACACCAGGCGCTTGTTCAAAAGGTTGAGACGGCAGAGAAGCAGCTGTTTCACACGCAACAATCGTACGACGACGCCGTGGACACAACAGAGGCCCTAAATGAACGCCACCGAGCTGTTCGGAAGGAGATTACAGAGGCGGAGAAGAAGGCTGTAGAAATACGTGCGGAGGAGCAGCGTATTCATCGGGTACGGGACCATGACTTTAAGGAACTCCGCCGTCTTGTGCAGCAGAACGAAGACATACGGCGTGGCCAAGCGAACCTGGAACGGCAAAAGATAACTCTTTGGAAACGCATCGAGACGGTGCGGAGGGAAAAGGAAGACTTACGTCGTGCCTTTGATGTTATGCAGCGGGAAAAAGATACGTTAATGAAGTTCGCCGAGAAGGAGCGGGAGAAGATACAGGAAATTGAAAAACTAATCGCGAACGAGGTTGAGTCCCAGGCGGAAATTGAGGATGCCATTGCCCGTGAGCGTGAGACTGGCGCACGTCTACGGCAAACGGTGGTGCGGTTGGAGAGCGAGAGGGAGAAGTACGTGCATGAGGTCTCGCAAGTCTCACTGCACCAGGCCCAGGCGCAGGAGGAACTGAAGATTGCCAGAATCACCTGCGAGGAAACCCAAAAGGCGATTGACGAGAGTGAACAGAAGCTTAAAAAGCAGCAGAGTCGCTATGAGCAGGTGCGATCAGAGAGGAATCTTTACTCTAAGAAGCTCATTGAGGCCCAGGATGAGGTGGTGGAGTTGAAGCAAAAGTTTCGCATGATGGACCACCAGATTCTTCAGCTGAGGGAGGAACTTGCGATGAAGGACAAGAAGTTTCAAGAGGAGTCTAGTGCCCAGAAGGTGTTAAAGGACAAGCTCACAAAGGTTCGCAAACTCGTGAACGAGCGTACCGTCGCCTTTGACGACGCGAACCAGCAGTGCGAGCATGTGGGGCAGCAGATCAAGCAACTTGTGAAGGTCATTAACCAGTGCGACAAGGATCTCAGCACGCAGCAACAGAGGTTCCTGGCAGTGAGTGGGGAGCGCGACCTTCTGGGCACCCAACTCATACGGCGCAACGACGAACTGGCCCTCCTCTACGAGAAGGTGCGCACGCAGCAGGAGATGTTGATCCGCGGAGAGGCCGCCTACCGGGCGCGGATAGAAGACGTGCGGCTGTTGCGTTTAAAAATAGAAGACATGAAACGAAAGTCCCTCATCGCTCACAACCGTGCACACCACACGGAGCAGCTTAAAGCCGACATCAAACAACTAAACTACGATCTGCGGGCGCAAAAGACGAAGGTGCAAGCTCTCACAGAGGAGGCGGAGAACCCGAAGAATGCGCTCCGTTGGGAAAGCATCTCTGGACGCGACCCAACACCGGAGGAGTTGGAACAGAAAATCACACGGTTGCAGCGTTGTCTCATCACCAAGTCAGAGGAATGCATCGAGAAGGACATGGAACTTCAGGAGAAGCAGCGCCTAGTGACGGAGATGCAGAACATTCTCTCCCGCCAGCCGGGAATGGAGATGGCACGGCAGCTAAACCTGATGCAGAAGGAGTTGGGCCACATGAACGCGGTGATGAAGCAAAAGGCGTCAGAGCTCAACATGACATCAACGCACATTTCTGAACTGAAGTACGAGGCGGAGCGTCTGAGACGCGAACTTCACGAAACAAAGAGGAAGTACTACGAAACGCAAATGAGCAACGACAAACTATTAGAAAAGCTCTCCCAGGCCAAGCAAGCAACGGTCTTCCCTCCATTGTGATTTTCATGTTGCATTGGACGTCTCGCGGTTTTCCTGCGTTGTATGGGTGTCTGGGTCCACTGAACCCGATTGTTCATCATCATGTTGTTTTTTGTGTTGTATGTGTATTATTATTATTTTTTTTAGGGTGTCTGCTTTGTCTGGGTCTGCTGCCCCGGACAGTAACCGGCACCCACGCAGATATATCCCAACGCATGTAAAGGATACCGAGTTTAGTGCTACTCTACGATTCTGTTGCATCTGTTGATGCCACAAGCCCTCCAAATCAAGGACACAGTACACACCACACTCTCCCCTCTTCCTCCTCCTCCTCCACGCCGCACACACGCCGAGGGAGAGAGCCGCTGCGTGGCGGGCATTTATTTGTACGTGCCCGTTCACCTCATTTTTCATTTTGTTTTGCTCTTTTTTTAAAAAAAAATAATAATAATAATAATAATTTGATCTTGCACTGCTTTTTTTTGCCCTGTAGTTCTGCTCACTCAAACCGCACTCCAGACCAAACCAAGCGACTCACAATGACCTCCGTGGAATCCGGCGCCAAGGTTCTCCGAATGAAGGAGAGCGACGTGCAGAAGCTTGTCGC